TATTCAGTAAGTGTCTACTACATCAGATGACATATCTTGCTCCTGTTACAAGAGAACATCTATCATCAAGTTCTGACTGCCAGGACAGTAGTGTATCATAAAATGAAAGCAGCTCAGAAACTTAGATCATTGTATCTGTTATTCAGTAAGTTTATAGATAATTATAATATGCTTGAGATTCTTATGATCTGTGATTATCTCAAATTCAGAGACACTTTGAAGTTTGAAGTCTCATTCTTCTAGACAGTATACAATTATGAGAAGTTTCTTGTTATAGATCTTATAATTGCATTCAGCAGAACTCAGTTTCTTAGACATGAAGATGCATAATCATAAGACATCTTCATTATCATATTGCAATATAGCTTCTGTGATATAGTCAGAGAAATTGACTTCAATAACTGTCTTATAATCAGGATCAAATGTTATCAGCAGAGAGACATTAATAAACATCTTCTTCATTCATATAAATGCAGCTTCAGTATTCACTAATCACTGAAATACTGAGTTCTTTTTGATGAGTTCTGTAAGTGATCTTGTAATATCTGAGAAGTTTCATATAAATCACTGATAGAAGTTAGCAAATCTGATGAAGCTTCATACATTCTTCACAGTATATGAAGCTTTTCATTCAAGAATGATGAAGACCTTCTCAGAATTCATTCAAATCCCCTTGTCAGCTTCTATGATAAAACCTAGATACTTTGTACTCTTGACTTTGAAATCATATTTATCAATGTCTATTGATAGTCCTGCTTCTTATAATCATTGTAATACTCTTTACATGTGTTCTTGATATTCTTTCCTGAACTCATCAGTGAAGATGAGAATGTCATTGAGATAAGCAGATGCAAATTTATCAAGAAAATCTCAGAGTGCTCAGTTGATATACTTCTGAAATATGCTGAGAGTGTTAGTCAGTCTGAAGAGTGTGACTACTCATTCAAAGAGATCATATCATGTTCAAAATACTGTAAGTCACTCATCTTCTTCAGTGATATGAATCTTATGAAACATGATAATGACATCTAGCTTTGTAAATCATTGAGCTTGTCTGATGTAAGCTAGAGTTTCATTAATAAGAAGTAAAGAATAGCAGTCTTTCTTTATTAATCTGTTCAATTTTCAATAGTTCACACAGAATCAGAGTTCTTCACCTGATTTCTTTGCAAAGAGAATATGAGCTGCAGCAGAAGAGTTACTAATGTGTATGAATTCTTTATTCAACAGATTATTAAGTATTCTTTGAAGAAGAAGAAGTTCATCTCAGAATATATTATAAAGAAGACTTCATAGTGATTCAGAGTCTTTGTCATTCTTCTTTTTCAACTTGATACTGTGATTCACTTCTAAATCTTGTAAGAGAGGTAGATTTATAGCATTATTATCTTATCAGAAGACATCTAGATATTCATGATATTATTGAGAGAGTTTTGTACAAGAATCTGTTATTATAATACAAGATAACTTTTCTAGAGTCTTTTTAATATCAGTCAGACTGATGAAGTAGATTATCACATAATTCTATTATCAGTGATCTTGTCAGTAATTCTGTCAGTGACTTCTTTTTCAGAGCATTTCATAAGCATTGACAGAGATCTGTGTTAGATTCATAGTCTTGTGAATATCATTCTCATGAATTCTATCATTGTTAGAGAATATTAAGCTTCTGTTTTGAGCATTCAATAAGATATCTTGTTCAGATAGTCAGACAAGTTCTAACATAAGATTATAATCAAGATTATCAACTTTATATGCATAGACATCTTCACATTGATGTCTCTTGACATCTATGTTTAGCTTCACTATGTAACAGGTGTAAATGTCTTTTGAGTCATCAAATCCTATGAGAAGTCAGGGTTTTGATAAGAGAATATGCTGAAGATTATAACATCTTATAACTGAAGATTTAATCATTACATAATGACATAGACTGCTGTCTATCATGGCTTTCATATTATACATATTATCAACTACAGTAGATACAAGAATTGCATTTATTATCATTTTCTCTTCAAATTATTGTCATCTGATCTCTTTAAGCTTCTGTTTGTGAATTTGAACAGAAGCTAATCTTTTCCCTATTTCATTGAGACATCTTCATAGTTATCTTCTGAATCTTTCTTCAATGCAATGTGATTGATATGTACTGCCAGTGTTGATCTTTCTTTTAAATAAGGAGACACATAGACTGATCAGCAGTTGAAAGTGATATATTCTAGTCAGTTACAATTGATACATATTTCTTATTGATATTGATTAGTGACTTCTTCAAGAGTGATTCTGAGGACTCAGAAGCCTGTTCAGACAGCAGAAACTCTTGTTTATACATAGACATTTGAGTTCACTCAATTCATGACATCTGTATTGTTATTCTTTAGCACAGATGTATGAGTAGCTGAGATGTAATATCTCCTACTGCTGTTCTGTATACTCTTAAGCTTGATGAGACAGTTATTCAATGTTCAGAGTTGTATGCAGAAATCTTCATAAGTCTGATCTTCATCTACACTTATAAGAGTCTGTAGAAGTTTGAAAGTTAGTATCTTCTTAAGCATGCTAATCTTTATTCTATTCTCTCAAGATTGATCACCTGCTTCTAGAATCTTAGTATCAAAATCAGGGATAAACATTGTGAGAGAAGTATTTCTCTGTCAGACACTCTGTAATCAATCTAATACTTTCTATTATATAGCAGTGTCTCAGAACAGAATATTGAGATGTTTGATGATATTATCAGATATATATAATACTGATTCACATGCTTTTATTCATGAATAGAACTTCTATTTCATGTGATTCTTCAATTGTTCATTGATATATCAATCTTGATTAATTAGTGAACTGATGACATTTTCATCTACACTTAGTTTCACAAGTATTTCCAATCTTCATGATGAGTAGAGAGTGAGATCAGAAGTATCAAAACATATAAGAGCATCTAAGCATTTCTTCAGTATTCACATTGTGTTCATATTCAATTCTGTCAGTGTTGAAATTGTCTGTGCAGAGATTTCTTATTGAGATAATTATTGAATCTCTTTATATTAGTGTTGTTGAGTTGCATGCATATCAGCTATCTATTGCTGTTGTAATTTCAACATTGCTTAAAGTCACTGTAGCACTGTATCTATGCTCACATTCAAGAGTTCTCTCATATTATCAGTAGATATAGCTGTATTGTTCATTGAATGTGTGATAACTGTGAAATCAGAAGAAGTGTAATTATATGAATATTTCATACATCTGTGTCAGAACTCTTATATCTTTCACTGATATTCTCTTTATAAGATCTTGTTCTCTTCATAAGATCTTGTTACAGGGTCAGAGTGACTGATGAGTAAGCTTCTATCTGAGAACTCAGTGTGTGCTTAACTGTTTAATTATTTCTCTATTTCTTACATATTATTACATGTTCAGATATCTTCTTGATAGATAATCATTTCTAATAAGAAGACAATGAACATTTTTCAAGTGTAAAAGATCTACACTGAATAGATCAGTATAATATATAGATCTTATATAACAAAGTGAAAAATGTTAGAGAAGGAAAGAAAGAGAAAGTGTGAGAATCAGTGATTGAAGTGAATATTTATACATGTACATGATGAAGCTTCGGGGTAGAAGAATAGAAATTCCATGGGTTTTTCAGCTGAGGATCGGCGACTGAAGATCAGAGCTTTTTAGTGAACTGAGAATTGAAGCTTTCAGCAGAATCTATGAAGTGTAATGAAATAGTCTATATGATTGATCAGGCGCAGCCCGTCACATTCTTCAACTCTTATTAGTTCTCCGCGAAATCTTTGGCAGAAGATACTATCATTTTTATATGTAATATTCTTTCTCTACTTATAGAACCGCTCTGCTGGGTTGTAAATGTCTACTCAGCAGAGTGATAATCAAGAGAGGTGTCAGATTCTCTCTCTATAAGCTGACTACTTTCACATAAGCAAGATGTTCACTGATTGCTTAGCAAACACCTACACATATAAAAGATTATATAATAGATAGATCTCAATAATACAATTAACTACTACATTATATCATCTTCATCATTTCTTTTATTTTTTTCTTTTTTCTTTTATTTTTTTCTTTTTCTTTTCTTTTTTTCTTTTTCTTTTTTTTTCTTTTTCTTTTTTTTTTCTTTTTCTTTTTTTTTATTGTGATTTTTTCTTGTTTTTATTTTTATTTTTATTTTTTTTTTTTTTTATTTTTTTTTTATTTTTTATTTTTTTCAGAATTAAAATTATATGAATTATAATCTGTGATTAGAAAAGTAATGATATTTAATAATACTTTCTATTGAATTTTTAACAAATAAGTACTATATATAGAATATTATATAAGTGAGAGATAATTTTATAATCTTATTTAATATTATTCTTAATAATGAGATCAGAATAAAAATGTAACTAAGAATTTAAATATATTCTTTATCTGAGATTAAATTTTTATTTGAAAAGTGAATCTAAGATCTTTAATATTTAAAATAAAGTGATTTAAGATTAATGTAATAAATATAAATTATAATCAGAAGTAATGCTTTTAAATAATATAATAACTATAAAGTTTGATTCTGATCTCAGATATGATTACATAGTCAGTCTAATAAGAATATTATGTAAAATTTAGAAAAAAGCACTTTACTTTTTCAAGAGAAGTAAAAAACTAATTTTAAGATCTTTTTTTTTTGCATTAACTACTGTAGAAAAATGAGATAAAAACTGCTTAAATATACACTATTATTATACTCTCTATTAAGACTTTCTCTTTTCAGAATCTTGATATTATAGAGAATATAAGTCTGTTTCTATATAATAATATAAATATTATTAGCAGAATATAGAGAAACAGATTATTTATATCTTAAAATAAATAATTTTATAAGTGATTATATTAAAATAGAAGTTAATTCTTAAATTTAACAGAAATTTAATATTAATATTCTCAATCTCTTACAGAATCTATTGAATATGAAGATATTAAAACTAGATTTAATATATCTCACTATGCAGAGATCAAAGACTCAGTCAGATCTTGAGTTAAACTGATTTTATAATTGTTGATGTCAGTTATATGTTGATTACTGTTGCTGAGATATCTTCTTGTATTTTTATACTGAAGATGGGCCAGATTGAGAAGGGTGGTACAATGAGTGAGACTTGGCATTGATGTTTTAGAACATCAAAAACAGACAGGGTTTTCACAGAGATTGCTCTTCAAATATCTCCACAGTTACAGGTCAGGGATCTTCCAAAATCAAGAAGATTGGTGCATAGGGCTAGGTCTCTTCACCTTACAATTTGTATGACAATTTGACCCGGGTTGTGGTGTGGTAGGGGTGGACAGGGGAAAATCCCACGCGGGGGCTTCCAACCACGTTTGGTTGAATAACTCCACCACCAGACGGGGTATGCAGTCGGCGTTGGGGTCAAAATGCTCGTATGATCGAGGGCTGTTCGATGGATCTATCGGTGGTTTCTTATTCGAAAAATTGAGCGAGTTCGTGGTGGAGCGGTTGTGTGGATAAATGTATAATAATTAGCTGTATAGATATTAGAAAAACCCTGAGAATTGAAAGTTCTCAGGTAACTAGATATCATAGTGCTTGACTGCATACATCTATAATTGAAGAATAATAATAATAATAATAATGAACAGTAAATAATTCGCACAAAATTACTCCAAGCACATGGATCTTTCTCTGTAAGTTAAATCTATCAATCCGGCCCAAATGTCGTACGAAGAAGGTGTATCAAAGTATCAAAATGATACATAAGCAAGGAAACCAAAATGACCGGCCCTGCTGTAACAAACCACATCCAAACAGGCTGGGTACCCGAGCCCAGCTCTTGGAAGTTCATACCCCAAACTGTGCAAACGAACGATAAAGGAATAAAGATGGTAGCTAGGACCGTAAGTTTCTGAACTCTTATAGCATTCTCTGTGGACCGCCTCGACTCTTCCAGTATGGAACTATTGACCAGTGTATCAATGCCAGAGTCACACTCCCTAGCCAACCCCTCCGCACGCTGGAGTAGGTACCCAAAGTCGCTGAGCAGTAGGCGGGCTCTTTGTTGTGCTTTGGGAGATTCTTGATCGCGCTGCCAGCCTAGCAAATCGCAAGTTTCCAGAGTTCTGACGGTTTCGGCGAGGCGTTGAGCGTGCGATATGAGCTGCGTCTTTATGAATCTCAGATTTAGCAACGAGACAGCGTCGTTGCGACGACCCATCTTCTGCTGCTCACCCGTGAAGGAGAGCTCGTGCTTAATACGGCCGTGAAGAAGGTTTAGAAACTGGAGTTCTGAAGATGCAGCGAACTGGAAGACCTCGCTGACGGCGTACAATGCATCTTGTTCAGCAACTTCCCGATCGATCATTGATCCGTATTGAAATGGAAGTAGGCAGATGTTTTGTGCGGCTCTCCACTCCGTCTCTTGTCTGCTTGGGGGGGGGTTGTTTTCACTTGAAGTCGGGACGGACCTGGATCCCATTACCGGCTCAGATCTATCTAGTGTTGAATGAGATCGAGCGTCGACTGCTTGATGTACTATTACTGGAACGAAGCGTGTCTCCCAGGGCCGGGTACCGGAGAGTGGACTCCATGGCCCCTGGACGCTGTGGGAGAGATCCTTCCCGCTATCAAGCCACACGATAGCGTGGCAAGTTTCCTCTCGGTGCCGTACCTCAATTGTTATCGTTTGTTCTAAAACGTATTCTCGTTTGCTCAGCAGCAAACATTTCCGCACTACGGAGTCCGCCAATTGCACCCTATCACAGAACTGTTTGAAATATTGATCCAACGCTCGCGCCTGAAGCTTACGTGCTTCTTGTAGATCCTCAGGCTCATAGGCAGTGTCTGCAACATTTCGACAGTAAACAGTTGAAATGGTCAAGTCGAAAATTCGAACTGAGGACGATGGGAGGGCGGGTGACGAGTAAAATTCCTGGGTTCCCGATGAAAATGGCTCGAAACTAAGATGTCGTCGATATAGCTCAGGGTTAATTTTGTATATCTCTCCAATAGTTGCCAACCACTGGGTTGAGCCATAGCCTCGCATGAATAACAGGTGTGGCTTCTTTTTCGGTACCAACGCAAAGTTGTCTATATCATGTGGTTTTGACCCGAAGGCTGCGTTCGTGCCTTCTTTTATGTCATGCATCACTACGAAGTTGCTAGTAACACCTTCGTCGGTTGCTGTCGAGGAGATATTTGGATCATTTGGAGCAAATCTTGAATTGGGTGAAGACTTTAGATATTTGTCGAGGATGTAAAGATCCGGCCTAGGGTAAACATTGCGCTGACTCGACTGCTGGGAAAGGGCTTCGACCTCCCGCCGGAATTTTCTTCCTGCTGCTCATAATCAGTATCAAGAGCAAAATATACCACTTGAAAGATATAAAAGATTTTATTTACCCCGGCAGTCGGACATATGGTGTGCTATGCAAGGGATATCTGCTACCTTCTACCTCCTGTTAAATGGAATGGAACAAGGCTGTGAGTTCTGCTATGTGTTATTGTTTCAGAAGGCAGCCTAAATGACCTAGTATTCACAGTGAAGCAACAAAGGTCTGGTAGTGAGGAGTTAACTTACAGCTGCTGATATACTTCTAATTGATAACTCATCAGTGACCTATTGCATTTTATTATTACGAACCATTCAAAATATATTACATCTACGGAGTCCGATACGGAGGCCAGTTCAGCTGTTATTGTATGTGATATATGTACAGTTACATATAATGTACTCCGTACCGCGCATTCGATTTAAAGCTTAAATAGTTAAATAATTTAGTATAATAACTAACCCGTAATTTAAACGTGGCACAAGTCAGTACGGAGTATGTCCAAGTCATCGCCAAATTCCCGCAGTCTTACTCAACTATATGTTTTCAGCTCGGAATTCTTAAATTTGAGAATTTCAGAATTGACTGGGCTGATATTATTTAAATATATGTCGTTGGCTATAAAACCTCCAGCGAATAAAAAATTCAGCCCTCTTCTCCCTGTCATCGGTCCTCAGGTCTAGCTTCTTTCAGTGATGTCTTGTCCAATTACAGTCGCCGCATCCACTACCGAGCCAAGAACGCTGATTCTGATGCAAAAAAAATCTTCTCTGGGCCTTCTTGAAGGACTTAAAGGCCTAGTTTTGGCAGCGGTTTTTGAAGCCAGCTTCAGTTTTTATGAGAAAATGATTGAAATTGCTGCCATGGATCGAAGCTTCACCGTACGCGCCCTCCTTTCTGGCCTGTTGATTGGTGTCCTGGTCAACCTCTCCAACACTTACTATGGACTCCGAATTGGCGTGGCCAGTCAAATGTCCATGGTCTCGGGCCTTCTGGGATTTGTCGTCTTCAAACTGTTCTCAAGATGCATAGAAAGCCCTTTGACGCCTGCTGAGAATGTTTTAATTATCAGCGTAGCCACAGCTACTGGATGTATGCCAGTAACTGCTGGGTTCGTTGGTATAATTCCAGCTCTTGAATATCTCATCGGCCCGGAGGAGAATGGCCCACTACGAATAGCTTGGGAAAGCCTTGTTTTTTGGTCAATTGGCCTTTGTTTCTTCGGCCTGATCTTCGCATCGATTTTTCGGGAGCATTTCGTTGTGCGAGAGACGTTGCCCTGGCCCGGAGCCAAAGCAACTGCGCATCTTATCAACACGATACATCACGTGCCTCCCGAATTTTCAACTGCTCCAGGTGGCATATTGTCCCCAAGCTTAACAGAGGAAAATCCAAGAGCAGGGCAGTCTGGAACTCCTGTGGAAGAGCGGCTACTTCTACTTGCGCACGGGAGCGGTGGGAGATGGAAGGTTGGGATGAATCGCCTTTTCCAGGGTGCTACTGGATCTGGAATATTTGTATGACTATTTTCTGTATTATTCAATTTCGCAGCGTGGCCTCCTGCTGATATACTTCTTCAGACCATTGTTATCTACTTCGTACCCATATTAAAGAAATTACCCATTCTCGGATCGCATGCGGCGAGTGAATGGCTTTGGAGTATGGACCTTTCTCCAGGTTTCTTAGGACAGGGAATTATCACAGGGCCCATAATTCCGTTGCACATGTTTATCGGCGCCATTATTGGCTGGGGAATTTTGTCGCCATATGCCAAACACCAAGGCTGGGCCCCCGGTGACGTGGATGACTGGGAAACCGGGTCAAGAGGGTGGATTATATGGGTCAGCTTGGCCGCGTTATTCGCAGACGCTTCCGTCAAACTTTCCTGGTTTATTGTCCGGCCTTTTTGGAAGTATTTTTTTCTCCAGCGGACGCCTCCCAAAGGCAGCTGGATGCTCTGCGAAGCAAGAACGACTCTGTGACATACCCACGGCCTCCTCGAGGTCGATATCAGACTGTGCCAACTCATGACGACTTTGAGACACCTCAATTCTGTGATTCTCAAGTGGTGGACCGGTCATCGAATCGGTGGTCGCCGTTAAAAGGGGAAAGGGTTCATTTGTCTGACAGCCCTATCACATCTCGAGCGTTGGGGTTGGGGTTCTTAGTTTCCGTCGTCATTTGCATCCTGGCGATAAATTTCACTTTCGGGAACTTTATAACATGGTACCACACTATCCTGGCAATAGCTCTATCACTCCCAATGGCAGTGATAGGTATACGATCTTTAGCGGAGACGGATTATAATCCCGAAAGCGCCTTGGGTATGCAACCCCTCTTCATTAAGTATCTACGATCGCTCACATCATTCCTTAGTATCGCAGTTAGTCTTTGCGACATTAATACCCCATTCCAACGCGAATGGCATAATTATCAGCCTCTTATCCGCCGCCCTCGCACAAGCAGGTGCAAACCAAGCAGGGGATATTTCCTTCGACTTCAAAATCGGAAGTCTCGTTGGAGCACATCCACGAGCGCAAACTTATGGGCAAATCATCGGCTCTCTATTCGGCGCTCTCATATCGTGCGGCATATACAAACTCTATGCGTCACAATATCCCATACCGGGACCTCTATTCAGGGTCCCATCATCATACCTTGTCCTTAGTACGGCAAGGCTAGTGATGGGTCAGGGTCTGCCGGAAGGAGTTGCGCCGTTTGCTTTGGGAGCTGCTATTCTCTCCATGCTGATTACGATAGTCAAGATGCGATATGAAACTCGATGGTGGCAAAAGCTAATTCCCAGTGGGGTATCATTGGCCATTGGTCTGCTGCCTTTTTCTTTTTTCTTTTTTCCTATACTTTTTCTTTCGGTCGTATTTCATAGTCACACTTTTTTATGCCCCCATCCCGTAAGTGCAGCGAACAACACTAATTGTTTACTAGGAATTTACAATGTACCGTCTTTTACCATCACACGTGTCATTGGGGGTCTTACATTCTGGCTTCGTAAAGTTAGGAGCGGGGAAAGTGAAGGCGATATGATATTCCTTGCTAGTGGATTGGTGTTGGGGGAGTCTATCTCAAGCCTTGTTACCCTCGCCCTTACTGCAGCCCATGTTAAGAGCATGTAGGAAAGGTGTGGGTGCTAAGACCCGCGCAATAGAGGCACGCAGGCATGCTTCTTGCCACGCAGGCTGGTCACCACACTCATACGGTGTGCATGCTGATATGGTGCCATCTCGCCTCTGCAATGTACGTACCTAAAAGTTCTACTCCGAGGAAGATGTTTTACTCTGACATGTTCGCTGCTGGTAGGTTCTTGGCTGAAGGATACTCCCAGGCTAGATTATGCACCATCTCATACCTTGCACTTCGCCTTCATTCTTACATACCTGGGGGTGCTGAAAAATGGAGCCCCAACCTCGGCCAGAATAGGAAGGTGGGGTCCTGATCTCGGGCCGACCCTTGTTGGTGAGGCTGTTAGTCATTCCGATCCTATCCTGACCATGTTCACAGTAACTTAGTTAATATTGGTGATAAAGGCCCTCTTTTATCAAAAGCAAGAGAAAAGGAGAAAACAAAAGAGAAAAAACACCCTATTGCTACCCAGGACCCTGCTTTCTTAATTAGTTTAATCATCATTAAAGCAAAGTTGCCCACCAAAATATATCATTATTTATATCCAACCCACTTAGCTCTAAAGTGTGGACCGCTTCCCAATATAATGGCCGCAGAAGTTGTGGAAAAGTTCTTCGACGCTCACCCCGATATCAAATTCATTCGCCTCCAATGGGTCGATTACTCTGGAGTATTACGTACCCGAATAACCACCAAACCTCGATGCTTTCGCATCGCGAGTGGGACGGACTGCTGTCAACTCGCTCAAAATTGCATGGTCCTACCTATATCGACTGAACCACGGTGCTTCCCTGATGGAATTGAAGACTGGAACTTGCGCCCGGACTGGGGAACGCTTATGGTCTGCGGGTTCGCTCCAGCGCATGCGTCCGTCATGTGTTATACCTCCCACCTTGGCCTGACAAACCCTCTTGCAAGGTGCCCAAGAAATTTTCTGTATGAAGTGTTGGCTGCGTTCGAAGCCCAGTACCAATCGACACTGCTGATGGGTTTCGAAATTGAGTTCGTCCTTCTTGATGAATCCTCCAACCTCGCACAATCCTTCGATCGGCTGGTTGGCAGTTCCATGACAGCTGGCCTCCGAACTGAAAATTTGGTTATTATGGAGGAGATTGTTGCCTCATTGGAACTGTCAGGGATTGAAATATATCACTTCCACACAGAAACTATAAATCAGTTCGAGGTTGCACTATCGCCACTTGCACCGATTCAAGCTATTGATGCTCTCATGATGACTCAGGAGACAATTCGCACTATATGTATCCGTCATGGCCTACAGGCTACGATGACCCCAAGACCGGTTTTTAACGGCCCACGAAATGGCTGCCACGTCCATCTTTCTATCAATCCTGCGCCAAATGCCCCCTGTTTCTTAGCCGGTGTACTGAATAAATTGAAAGCTCTTTGCGCATTTGGTCTGGCAAACTATGATAGTTACCACCGAGTAGCTGGGGACTGTGCAGGAGAATGGATAGCTTGGGGGACACATAACAAAGACTTTCCTATCCGCCAATTTGGTCCAAACCGTTGGGAACTTAGATTCTTGGATATCACTGCCAACATGTATCTTTTCACGGCTGTTATGCTCTCAGCTGGGATGGATGGTATGAAGCAAAACATCATATTGTCGGTGCGTGACTGCCAGGTTGTCCCGTCAGCACTCACTTTTGAAGAAGCTGAGCGGCAGCTCCGAGCCTTTGGAATCACAGAACGTATGCCGAAAGAATTGGAGGTATCCTTGGACTATGCCAAGGATGACAAAGAGATACAAAATTGGGTTGGAGCGGAGTTGTTCTCTCAATACGTCAAGGTTAAGGAGAAGGAAGTGGAATATTTCTCGAAGATGACCGATGAGGAGCGCAGACAGAAGTTCTTGGGTTACTTTTAGATAGGCAGACAGTACGGAGTTCCCCCATGTTTGATAATGAGGAAAGATAGATAGTATGGCGTGGAAAAAATAAAGATAAAGAACAAGAATAAATAAAGAAGGACAGAAATGCACGTCAGACCGACCAAAAGCAAACAAGATTATCGAAGTCTACAGTTCGCAGCTCTCTTGGCCTTTCATCTGGGAGTATCTGTTTCCGAAGTAGTTTTGCCCGCTCTACCCACCACTTTCCTTTCTTTTTGTTCTCTTCGCCACCCATTGACAGGAGATGAACACCTCTGAGGAACGATGAGCGGGCTGACTCATTTCTAAACCATTGCCGATCGCCCCAGATACTCATAGCCCGATCAAGGTAATCCCTGGCAATATTATTTGTTGTTAGGAATCATCCGAACATCTTAATTACGATAACGGAAGATGTACTTACTGTGCTAAGTCGTGTTGCTTGTATCGAATATGATGTTCAGCTAGCTTGTGGCAAGCGTCCGCTGTCCGATGGTTGAATTTTCCCAAAGTTGACTCATACTGTTTGAGGCATTCTGAGTGTATGTTGAATGCCTCATCCCAGAGTCTCTTGGCGCTTTCATGATTTCCATCCGCTGCGAGTCGCGCGGCTTTGCTGTTCTTTACATTTCCAAGGGCCTGAAGAACCCTGCCCGTTCTGAACGTGATCTATCAGCATCCGACGTTATAAACACCAAAGGTCACGGGCGTAAATGATTTTTAAATCACTATCATGCAAATTTATAGGTCTCAAACCTACTTGTAAGAAACTCTGTCTAACTTTCCATGCCTCTTCTCGCGCTGCATCAATAGGTCTGTCAGGGTCTCGTCCGCAGCATCGAGTTCTCCTTGAACCCAGTATGCTAATCCGAGGTTGCAAACGGGGAAACCAAATTCGTCCACGTCCACATCAAGCCCCTTAATCATCTCGATGCATTGTTTGAAATATTCCGTGGCGAGGGCAAACTTTCCGATCATCATGTATGCGATACCAAGCTGGCTATGAGCAAAGGCAAACCTTAGATCTGGCTTATTGTTCTTCCCTGCTTCAGCCTTACGTCGTGTAAGACAAATAATATTGTGTTCTAGGCATGACTGGGCGTCATTCGTCTCATTTGACAGGGCACCCATAGTAAGATGCATATCGCTGACTAGAGGTTCTTGGAGGATATTATCTCGGCCGCACAAGTCAAGCGCCAATGTCAAGTATGCTTTCCCTTCGTGGGAGAAGCCTCGCTCGTGGAGGTAGCTAAGACGGGCCATTAGCGTTTATTTCTTGTTCGCTATGTTAATTTTATACTGTAAGCTGTATGCTATATGGGGCATGGCATGAGTTCTTACACTGCGGCCTCATTTAAAAGGATGGGAAACGCCGGATCTACCGGAAATCTTGCCCAGGCTTGAGAGTACTCAATGTAGATTTGGTAAAGCCGTTCTAGGTGCGGGAATAAATCTTCGCACAATGCCCAACGCTCCCTTGCCTGCCTGCAAAGATCACCCGGAGGCCAGATCTCTGAAAGGAGATACAGATCCTCTTTAAAGGTTTGGTAGCACTGTTGGGCGTCCATGCCTGTTCGGACCTCTGCTTGGATTACCCGATGAATCCATAATTCCTTCCTGCTAACATTCCGTTTGATGATGGAGGATGATAGGAGCTCATAACGGGCGCTCTCAAAAGTTGATGCTACCCACAAACCGCTACCTTGGTCCCTGGACCTTTGAGGATCTATATATATATCTTCCCGGATCCGATCCGGGTTCATGAAGGCAAGGGATTGTAGAAGCTTCTTAGCGTGCCGTTTAAGATCCCGAAAATTGTAAGTGGTGGCAAGCGTGTATCCGTATCGATATTCCTGTTCGGCATTGCTAACATTACGTGTCTCCACATATTGAGCGTCAGAGGCAAATAAATTTACATATTCTCGGATTGAAAGGTGTCTCTTGCGAATAAACCCCGCCATTTGTGTCATGGCTAATGGCAGACCACCAAATTGGGTAGCTACCTCGGTTGAGGCTGCCAACTCATCTTCATCCTCAATCTCCGTGGATCCTTTAGCTAGCTTACGGAGAAGAGTGGCCGCCTCAACTGTTGAAAGCGGATCCAAGTCAATGCCAGATCCATCCGAGCGGAAGTGTGTTTTGGCAAAGGGATCCCGACTCGTTATCAACACTGAACCATTTCCATCGTATGGCAGGTAGTCGGCAATGATATCCAGGTTGTCAGCATTATCAAAGATCAATAACCAAAAGGAGTTCTCTTCCGCTCCGCCTTCTTGATTTTCATTCCTATTAGCTTTGTTCAACCAGGCCTTGGCTATCTCTTTGCTATTTTCAAGATCTTGGGCTTCATCTGGACCTTCAAGCCCTAGCTGAGTTGGAATTCTACCAAAATCGGATACCAGCTGTGATACGCCCCCTGCCTCGAGCCAAAAGATAGCCCCGAATTTTTCCTTCCTAGAGTAGGCGTATTGAATCGCGATATCAGTCTTTCCAACCCCACCCATGCCACAAATTGCAAAAAGGCGAGTGCTGTGAACATTTCCTGAGTCTGGCATTTCGCGCGGAAGGAGATGCTTGTCCATGAGATCAAGTATGTCTTTTCGACCAACGAAGTCCCGGTTTGGTGGGTACCCGGCTAGTGAAAAGCAGGGAAGGCGGCATTTTCTACCGCTTAGGAGTCGCTCTGAATTTGGCGAGAGGAGGAGTAAGCGACGTGGAATCTGGTGAGTTGATTTGCCGGAACCTTTATACACGTGCGAGCCCTTTTCTGAAGTGAAGGTCAATTTCCTGGTTATCCCAAGTAGTTCAATGTCAGCAAGGTTTAGCGGGTTGAGTGGATTCGACGTCACAGGGGATTGAGAAACCATTTGTTGACCACTCTTTACGCAGCGTACAGCCCATTTTTCATTTGCTTAGCAATCATTGGTTAGTTAGTTAACCGTTAACTAGCGCCTAGAGCTAGAAATATTGCCCAGTGGCTTCTCCCAACTTACTGGTTACATCTTCGAATAAGGTACGAAGAAAATCTCTTGCTGAATAATTTTGATCCGTGAGCAAAGACAGCTTACAGAGCTCTTTGTGAGAAAGATGTACCCCAAATAGGCGCTCCATGCTGGACGATATAGTAGCGGTTTGTTCGTCAACAAGTGCCTAGTTACCAAAGGGTAAGAAAATTGATCCGAGTCTCGCCGAAATCGCATTCTGCTTTTTCTTACCTGTTTTGTCCCGAGAAGCCGTTGCATACAAGACAGGCGATGCCCACATTCAAATACGGACAGGAGAGGAATAGAAGAAATTTGCTCGAACCTAACGGCCAAATTTGCTAATTGGAAGATATCCGAGGTTGGGAGTTTCCTTTTATGCGTTGCGATCTTTGCGCACTTGTGCAGGATCCGATTGTGACGCAGTAATGTATCTTCATCCGTGACCCCACCATGAGGCGTTCCCAAGAATAAAATACCTGATAAGCAGCCTACGACTAACTTGAACCTCGGATCTTGTAGGTTTTGATGCACTAAGAATAACGCCTTTTGGTTGTTAATCCACAATGTGAACCACTTGTCAAACAGAGAAACAACATGATATATACCTTCTTGAGGAGCACGCCCCCGAGAGAATGGGCAATGAAGATAATTGGCCGTTGTGGAAACTGTTGATCTGTTAGTATTATAACACTACGTGATGGACGTCTTCTAGGCCAGCGCTAGGGTCTATCGCAATACCTACCTCAGTCGAAAGTTGGGCCAAGTGCTCCGCCAAGTCACTTCCTGCCCTGAGGAAATTCTCCCACGAAAAGTGGTCAGGTGAGGCATATGCTGGTCGATAGATATATATGTGCAAACGCGAGACGGAATCCACAGCTATCGCCGCCCTATACAGTTCATCATCGACGCCCCACTTGCTGACTGGTGGAGTGTGGTAGCCGGGGATAGAGATCACACTGAACAGATGACATGAGCCTGCACGGAGGGAGAGTAGAATAACCTTTGAACTAACCTCGCCTCAACTCTCATTCTGTCATTGGGATGAACTTGGATGACGTTGCTCAAATTAATCGACGACGATTGAGCGGCATGTCTGCCATCTGGGCCTTCTCGTGGTGCCTGCATGGGAATATTGAGGAAGATGGAAAAGCAGGGAACTCAACCGGAGATACCCCAGCCAAAATACTGATGCATCGAATATTCTTGCAGAATGTTCAGGGGCAGGTGGTAATCAACCAAGCGCGTGCTCTCTTGTGCGTTGCAGTTGGGGTAGTGTAACAAGAGGGATAGGGTAAGGAATATCAAGTTGAATTTTTGCGACCTTTTCCGGATGAGCTTTTTGTTTCTCACTACCTCGGGTGGATTAATGACGCTTTTGTAAGGATCATAGAGGTGACAAATATCATATGCACCATTCAGCTATGGTGGGCAAAGGGGTAAAGAGGCAAAAAGGGAGGGTTGGGGAGGAGGGGGGAACCAGGGGGGCAAGGTGGGGGTAGGGGGGGACATTGATCTATGACATCCCGCCATCTCCCTTGGTGATGGAGGCTTGCGCCCGGGTACGACTACACTCTGCCAATGAGACGGCGACACCTGTCATGTGGACAGATAGATGCAGCTTATGCATGGTCCTGACAATTCTTGCTGCGGAAGTATCTGAGCCTAATGTGCGGTGGTCGTAAGCAGCAGGGTTTTGCCCTTTTGTGAGAACAGCGCTATGGATAGTGAACTGACCCCTCCTGGTCATTATTTATACGCCTGGTTTAGTTATAAATACCAGGCAACACACCTCTTCCACATGGCGCTGGGCAAGGCATCCCCGCCACTCATTTCAAGCGAAACCTCCCATAGGTTACACATCTGAATTCCACAAGAACAGGTTGCCTGCCCTTTGCCCACTATGCCCAGGGACACAACTCCGAAAACTCAACCCTGGAAGGCCTTGTCGTCTTTGGCTGAAGACAAGAACCCCGACCTCATGAAAAGAAATCTCAATTCTCAGGACAATTGTTGTTCAATGGGAGCTTCAGTCAGCAAGCCAATTGGCCGAAAAATCGAATATAAGGGCTGGGCGGAGGACGATTCCGCGAAGCATACGGCCAATTAAGAATAATATGCGGGCGCGGAAGGGGGAACTCCGCAGAGGTGGGATTATTCCTAAATTATACTGCCCCTGAGCTTCGACGTTAGTTGGATAAATTTCTTACCAGTAACAGCAAAGAAAGATCCGAGAGCGAGAGGGACACATATTACAGCAGCGGACTTCATGGCTCGGTTCCAGCGGCACGTAAACGGAGAGGAGAACGAATACGCTCGTTTTGCTAAATTCAAGCTTATATTGGCCTCAACTTTATTCTACAAACCCTATCTGTACTCTACTAGGCTTCTTTTCTTGTGACTTGCTCCTTACCAGCTGAACAATACTCTGGTTGTCAATGCCGCTGAAGCCTGTTTATTGCACTGTTCTGCTGATTCTTTGATCAACTTCAACTTCATATCACAGCGTTTCGCAGCGTTTCGCAGTGGGATCACAGGATAGGTTCATGTGATGGAGAGACAGCTGGGGTCTCTTTATAGTATATTATCAGTCTCGCCACCACCACTTCCCTAGATTTAACTCAGAAACAAATCAACTATGGGATCAACTAGAAGCAATACATCCTAAAAAGGAGATCAATAATCAATGGGAGAGGGATTATTCTTTGTGATATGGTTGTTGAAGATTCAACCTGGTTGGCTTAAAGCTGGTGCTTGCTCGAAAAGAGCAGTATCTTATACTAACCATACCAACAGGATAGTTACAGTAACCACTAACTGACTCTTCCCAACGAACCCTCACAAAAGCCCCACAGAAAAACGCTGGTCTACCCGGTGTAGTGGAGTAGTGGAATTATCATATCTCCACTTATTTAACTAGCCCAGGGCTTGGACTCTGGATAAATCATGTCTGCGTACATGACGAGCAGTCGAACATCTATACTCTCCCTTCTTGACATGGTGTCCTGGTCTTGTCCCGGGAGAGGAAATGCGCCGTGCGGGCAAGCTGTATAGGTAGTTAATATCTTACTCCCTAGAGTAGTAGCAATAATAGCATGTGGTGTAAAAAGAAAAAGAAAGGAAAAAAAAAAAAGAGAAAAAGAAAAAGAAAAGGAAAAATAAAGGGGGGTCTATCTGCCAAAGCAACTTACGGGAGGAGAGGAGTTCATCCGAATCAATAGCCTTGAAGACAAGCACCTCATCCGCTGTTTGATCTGGCAACCAGTACCACTTCTGATCTGCATCGAAATGTAGCATGCGATTCTCCGCAATGTAATTGGGATAAATCACATCCGTGTCCACAAAGTCGGCCTGATCAACACTGGATGCATCGCACAGGGCAAGAGGCCAGTCCCTGACGGGAACTGCGAGGGGCCTCCAGACACTATATAAAAAGGAGAAATTTGGCCTTAACTCCTCCAAGATAAAGGATTCATTTTGATTCAAAGATGAGATACTCACGTAATGACTTGGAATTTTGACTTTGTGATCTGAGCAGCAGCAGAATCCCCATATAGTTCGTGAATGATTGCCTTGGTGGCCGCGAGCGTTACATCTGAGGCAAATAATGGGGATGAGAAACTGATCCAGAACAGTACAGTGCCCAGGATACTTTTATCTAAGGAAGCGGGAATCTGGAATCAAATACCGACGTGTACCATCAAACTTGGCTGAGGTGTTGGGTGGGGCTTGCCGCCAAAATATGGGAATTGAGGATCTCTTTGCCTCAGCTATGTATGTACGGAGAATGTCGTGGAATAACGAATCAATCAGCTGTCTATTTGTGACGAGCTTGACGAACTTGCATCTGCGGAGCGCGCTTGTTTTTACATACCTGAAAGTCCAAAGCTCGGACTTTCTTCGCCCCCAATTTTGCATTGAAGTATTTCTCAAGCTCTCTGAAGTATGTAGCTTGTATGCGCTCTTCATCTTTGAAATCCGCATACTTCATCTTGGTATCCAGCCGATGGACCTCAAATCCCTGGGCATCGAGGGACAGAGTCGGGACAAGAGGGCGCATGCTTCTGACTCGAGTTACATGGGACGAACGCTGAAGGTTGTGCAGCGGGAAATTCTCCTTGGGGAAATAATGGAAGTTGTATGGTTTGACGGTGTCCCACAGCTCGCTTCGATCGAGAAAATACAATGGAGCCACTGCCAATCAGTGAGCGATGGCACGAACCGAAGGGACTAACTAACAATTTAAGTTAAATACTCACACTGATCGGAGTGATCAACATCTTTTCGATCCGGAAAAAGCGCTGGCCCAGACATGATGAGGAGAAATCTCCATAGAAAATGAATTCTATGGGTGGTGGGATGTATCAATTGTCCTCGCAGCCAGACGAGGGGATACGAGCAAAGTTCCACAGGCTGAGGATGGGAGCTAGCTAGTCGTTCAGATATCTGCATACCATACCTATAGGTATATAACAGACATAAGATACCTCAAGGGAACTTAGGTCGTGGTTTGAGTATCCTGGAATCTCCTCCTCTGCAGCATTCAAATGCGGCGTGACGTGGCATTGGGGTACCCTGGAATGAATGTTATGTTCGCCAATGTCTTCTAACCGAGTTAAATATCAGTTAACTTTATCCCTGCTCAGGTCTGACTCTCGCCCTCGTTTCTCTTTATTTACCCTTGAACTTTGCCCAGCGGTGGTTGAGGGCTGTGTGTGCATCGGCCATGGCTGGCTGGCTGTATCCATGAATGTATGCAGTTCAGTTCGGATTGAAATAGTTACCATGTCCAGTACATGTCTAGGTGCTTTGACCTCCTCTCCTTCGACAAAAGGTTGCTGCCGTCTGTTCCAAAGGACTTTATTGGCTGGTCCCCGCACACTGTGGACCAGCTGGCTGGCTTTGTTCTCTTCTACGGTGCATACACACACTCACTCACAAAGAGAGTGTGTGACTTGTTTCTGCAACCTGGCAAGTTTCAACCTCCTTGAAAAACTTGCCCGAGGCTAATTGACATACCCAGCAGTTACGGAGTACTCCGTTTGCAATTAATCCGTAGTTTACACCGACTCAGACTCAGACTCAGACTCTTCGCCCGTCGACAAAGCGCGTCCGTCATCTCGGAGGTGTCCAGGCCAACCGCGAAACAGCTTTTAACCACCCAACATTTTTTTTATCACGGTACAATTGAAAATCGTTCCCCTCGTCGTCTAGGTTTGAGGATGCTCATTATTTTGTGGTTCTAGGGCCTTCCTCTACTTCATTTCATCCATGGCGCTTGGGTGCGGAAACCGTTTTTTCTCTCTCCGCCCTTTGTTTGGCAGTAAGGGTAAAACGCGTATCCCAGGCTCGACCAGCTCGAGCCGGAACAGAGGCCGCTTCAAACAATATAAAATTTCCCCGGGCAAGCTCGCACAGCCCAGCCTCAGCATCGAGGAAGAAGTTCAGATCACTATCGGCCAGGTTGAATACCTCTTGATACCACACCCGGAGGTTGTGATTTTTTTATACTGTCACCACTAAACAACTAAAAAAAAAAAAAAAGAAAAAATCGCAGCTAACGCTCCTCTAGAATTTTCTCGACTTCGAGAGTAGTAATAACGATCCTACTTTGGCACTCGTCTACATAACCAAGCCAGGTCAAACCATTTCGGGATCAGCCCTCCGTCAGTTCCGTACCGATACCCTGGATCGAGACGATGTGTTTCAACCGGAATTCTTTAGCAATGTTATCTTCTACGGTTGTAAGGAAGCGGAGTTCTGTTTAGAGCCTGATGCTCGTGAAGAGCTAGCCACATGGAATACAGACACTTGGTCATGCATTGAAGGAAATCCCACGGCAAAAGCTGCACCAGGACCATACGTTTTCTCAAGGGGGAGGACCTGGCAACCATGGAGAGTCTATCGCGATTCCAGTGCAACCTTTATGTGCACTTTCAAACCCTCGCCAGACTTCTCTGGGAGATGAGTATTCCAACCATAATGCCTTGGTGGGTTAAAATAAAAAAACTAACTATATCATACTCTAGTCACTCTCGACCCTCCTCAGGCCGGTACCGATGGGAGAGTCATCGTACCATCCCGTTGCTACTACAAACCGTGCAAGGAGCGTCCCCTTGACGGAGCTAGGATCAGCGTCAAAGACAACATAGACATCGCAGGTCATAAGACTACCCTTTGCAACCGCGCATGGCAAGATCTCTATCCCGCAAAGACCCAGCATGCAAATTGTGTGCAAGTTCTTATAGATGCAGGGGCCGTTATCGTGGGCAAATCAAAGCTACAGGCTATGATTATGCGTGAGGAACCCCTGGAGGCGGTAGAATTCACATCCCCGTTTAACCCTCGTGCCGATGGGTATCAGGTACCGTCTGGGAGCAGCAATGGAAGCGCTGCAGGAATTGGTTCCTACGAATGGCTTGACTTCTCCCTTGGATCTGATAGTATGTCTTTTATTATCCATGTTGGGGCAAGGATAAAAAAGGCCTTGACTGATGCGCTACATTAGCAAACGGAAGCGGTCGTAAACCCGCGCAATACAACGGGTGCTTTTCCATTCGCCCATCAACAGGGATCATGAATACGGATGGTGTTGTCGGTCAATTTCCGTGCGTGCAGGCCCCTCTGAATCTTACTTGGATGGGCAACAATACTGATTTGGGCATGGCATCATTCAGAAAATTTGACATGCCCGTGTTTTTCGGGAGGGATCTCTCCAGATTCTCCGACTTCATTTCAGTGTGGTACGGAGATTCTCCGGACCTACGCAAACCATCCAGGGTTGATCTCCCATTCCAAAGAAGTTTATTTATATAGGTTATACTTTCTGACTTCTTTTTTTTAGTTCCCGGTCAGAATTCTCTACCCTCATGATTATCTTCCGACTACAAACGCAGAACAGTCCCTTCTCATCGACCGGTTTATTCAAGGTCTCGAATCCGCTTTGGGCGTGAAGCGAGAGGAGATATCTCTCGCCGAAGAATGGAAACGAGATTGTCCCGATGGAAAGGATAATGACGATATTGCTGAGTATCTCAAACTGGTAAAACCTCATTCCCGTGATAATACTTTTGTTGTATTTACTTGGCTAAGTTCCCCCCGTAGGCTGGGGGTTATCCTTACTATCACGATTCATACCATCACTTAGATGACTTCGGGAAGGATTACAAGGAGAAGTACGGGAAGGCACCCTTCGTACATAGAGCTATGCACTGGCAGTGGTGAGTGGATTGTCTGTTTTCTGTACGATTATCTACTATAGCACAGTGGCCAAAAAAAAAAAAAAAAAAAAAAAAAAAAAAAAAAAAAACCCGTGCTTATGTGACTGGTTTAGGGATATTTCGAAGAAAATCACACGAGAGGAACGAGATATGTATTGGCGCCGTTCTGAAATCTACCGGCAATGGCTCCTTGACAAGATCTTCAAGGCGGACTCAAAAGACTCCATATCAATCATGGTCTTCCCGATTGAGGAGGGAAGGCCAAACTACCGCGATGTGGAACCAGCGTTTGTTTCCCCCAACCGCCAAATTCCCCCTGGATTCTTTTCCTCATATCAACTTTGGACAAAAACGCTAACGCAGGATACTTAGGCCATTCTCCATCTTAAGTGGTTATGCGTCATTAAATATGTCACCTATGATGCGAGCACCGGAGCTCACAACCATAGGTAATATTCCCTCGTTCAACTCACATAATGCCATTACTCACACAAGATTTCTTAGTTGGTGAGATACCATTCAATTCCATTGTCACAAAGCAGGAAGAGTCATTGCCGATTGCAGCGTCCGTCATAGGCGCCCCAGGTATGTAATGTAGTTCAGACTACTCTATTTTGACTTCGTTTAGCTTCCTTTTATTTTATTTTTTTCTATTTTCTATCATGACAGCTGGGAAACTAAATTGTGAACCGGGATTATTCTTGCAGGAACGGACCTAATTCTTGTGCACTTAGTAGAAAGAGGTATGACCGCTGGGAAGTTTCCTACTAAACTGAAAACAGGGCAGTCTATCTATTGAACACAGAGACAGATGAGATGTGACTGAAGATCTTATTTTGCCTTATTTTTCTTCTTTTTAATTTAGTGAAATTTAAGAGAAAAAAACTCTTGAAGAGAGTAAAGATATTTCATTGTCTTACACAGTAGATTTAGTTAAGATAATTATATGTTAAAGATAATAACTATGTAGAACACTGAAATAAAAGAGCTTGATTATTACTAGGTTTATTAATAGTTAAGTGAAACTATTTTATATATATTAACAAATTAAATTAAATCTCAGGAATAAATTATTATTATTATTATTCTTCTTCTTTTTCTTTAATTATAAATGCATATAATCAGAGACTATGATATTGTAAGAAATCCCGCTCCTCGCGGATTCTTTACCTCTATTTCTATCTCTTGTGTAATCAATAGAGTTAGCGGCCCTTGGCTACACACAACTATATAGACTGAAGTTCATGAATACTATTTATAACTCAGCTTGAATACTATTATATATTTAATCTCTATATTTATCTTTCTATTATAAATACTTCTAGTAGTTATCAGTATATATTATATCAAGCTATAAATATTCTAATAATTATCTGTAAGCACTTATTCTTATATTTTAAGCTCTGTCAGTTAGTAATCATCTATTATAACTAAAAGAATTAGAAACTTATATACTTTAATCTCTGTAAACTCTACTACAGATACTCAGAAGCAGTCATTTAAATTATGAATAATCTCTATAAAAGAAGTCTCAGAGAACTTATTAATTATTTATAAAATATTATTCTTTATATCTATAACAGAGAAACTCTCTAAACTTGTAAATAAATTAATCTTAGTAAAGAATATTCTTAAGTATCTTTTACAGAATTAAGTTATTTTTCTATAAGAAATACTTACTATCTGTAAACACTCTTAAACTGAGTCTTTAAATATAATCTTCAGAGATATCTACAAACTGAAAATTTTTTTTCTTAAGCTGTGATTATTTAAGATTATCTACTGAATCACAATCTAAAAAACCTTTAAAAGTTTGTATTTAAAATTAACTTATAAGTTTGACTATATAATATGAAAAATAAATAAGCTATTATCTATATAATAACAGATCTTTACTATACTGAAGTCAAGAATTAACTAAATTATTTAAAGAATAATTATAAGAGATTCTACTGATCTATTCTCAAAATCTATTTAAAGAATAAGTTAAAGAACTCTATAAGCTGAATAGAGAATATCTGAGTTATAATTATTAATATTAGAAAAAGAGATGAGAAATCTGATAAAGACTACTTACAGCACTTTATAAAATTATAATATAAATTAAGATCTGTGAAAATAGAGTTCTGCTGAAATAAGATCTGAATAATGATATTTATAAAAAGACTGAATAAAAATATATAGAATAAGCTTATTAAGTAAGACTTTAAGTTCTTAACTCTGAAGAAACTGATAACTCTTATTCACTACTTATAAATTACTGTAAGAATCACAGATTTATAGAAAGTAAATCACTGATCATTCATTCACAGCAAAAAACAGCGCTTCATCACGAACTCACTCAATTTTTCAAATAAGAACCCGCTGATAGATCCATCAAAAAGCCCTTGATTATATGAGCATTTTGACCCCATCGCTGACTGCATACCCTGTGTGGTGATGAAGTTATCCAGTTAAACATGAACCAGACATTGTTCAAAACTCCTGTGTGGGATTATCCCCTGTTCACCCCTATCACACCACAACCCTGGATCAAATTGCCATACAAATTGTAAGATGAAGAGACCTAATCATATGCATCAATTCTCTTGATTTTGAAAGATCTCTGATCTGTAATTGTGAAGATATCTGAGAAGCAACTTTCATGAAAACCCTGTCTATCTTTGATGTTTCAAAACATCAACATCAAGTCTCACTCACATACTGCTCTTCTCAATCTGACTCACCTTCAGCAGAAAAATACAAAAAGATACCTCAGTAATAGTATCAAGCACATAATCAATGAATATATCTGAAGTGCATTCTCTGTGAAAAACCCTCTCTGTCTTTGATGTATCAAGACATCAACATTAAGTCTCACTCTTGTACCATCTCTTCTGATCTGGCTTATTCTCAGCAGAAAAATACAAAGAGATATCTCAGCAACTGTACTCAATACATAATCAGCAGACACAACAACTATAAAATCAGTATATCTCAAGATCTGACTGAGCCTTTGATTCCTGCACAGTGAGATATATTAAATCTAGTTTTAATATCTCAATATTTAATAGATTCTGCAAGAGATTGAGAACAGCAACACTAGATTTCTATTGAATTTGAGAATTAACTCTATATTGATATAATCATTGACAAAGTCTTCTATTTTGAGATATAAATAATCAGTTTCTCTACATCTCACTGATAATATTTATATTATTATATAGAAACAGACTTATATTCTCTATAATATCAAGACTCTGAAGAGAAAAAGTCTTGATAGAGAGTATACAGTAGTGCATATCTTAGCAGTTTCTATCTCATTCTTCTGCAGCAGTTAATGCAAAAAAAAGATCTTAGAAATAGTTTTTTACTTCTCTTGAAAAAGTAAGATATTTTTCTCTGAGTTTTATACAATATTCTTATAAAGAATTAAAAACAGAGTTATTTTCTGTCATAATTTTATATTCTTTTAAATAAGAATTACTTTTTCAGTGACTGAAGAGCTTTCATTAATACTTAATTCTTTTTTACACTCTTTATTAACTGATTTGAGTTGTACACTTGTTGTGTGAGAAGAATTGAATGATTTAGAATAAAATTAAATAGTTTTAATCAATTTCTCTGTAAAAAATTGATTTATTTTTTGTCAGTTTTTCTCTCAAAAACTGTCATATTATCTAATTTATTATCAATTGATATCATACTTTTTCTCACTGTATTTTAAAAAAGAGATTGTAAAGATTTTATTGATTTATCTTAAAAATCAATTTTAGTTTATTAGATTCTCTTTAAAAATCTAATCTAGTTACTGAACTAGTGTGAAAAAAATCAGGTGTTTTATACACAAAAGTCTTTTATTCTTCTTTTGAAACAGTCTGATCAACTTTTCAATTGAAAACAGACTTAGAAATCTCTTAATTGAAACAGTCTGATCAACTTTTCAATTCAAAAGAGTTTAATAAATATCTCAATTAAAGCAGTCTGATCAACTTTTCATTGAGTAAGAACAATGAGTTCAAAAGTACACTCAGTTGATGTGGAAAAAGATGCTTTCTCAAATACTATTTCTGAGATTGAAATTCTGAAGAGAAGAAAGAAAGAAGAAATAGAGAAACAATAAGTTCTTGAAATACAGAAACTTGAAAAAGTAAGTAAAATTCTTGAAAAGCAGTGTCTGAGTGAGATGAATGAAGAAGTTCTGTTAATTCTTCATACTCAGGCTAGATAACTACAGAAAGTGATCAAGTTCAAACTTGAAATTTCAAACATAGTTCTAAAAACTTTGAAAATTTCTAATATAATCACTGACTCTTCAGTTTACTCTTCTTTCTTTTCTACTTCTTCTTCTTCTTCTTCTTTAAATCAGAAGAAAACATATAATTAAGCAGCTGAATCTGCTGTCTCTAAATCTGCTATCTCAAAATCTGCTCAAAATTCTGAGAAAACTGAGAAGAATACTGCTCATACTTCTATTCATAAAAAAGTAAAGAAAAAAATGCAAAAAGAGAAAAACTTCTAAATCTTCAGAAATAGAAGACTTATTCTCAAAGTCTTAAATCAGAACATCTTACAAAGAAACAAGCTAAACTCAAATCTTATTTTCAGAATCAGAAATGAAATTAATCAGCAGTTCTTTTCTCAGTTGATAACTGATATTAAAGTTCAAAAATCAGTTATAGCTTTAATTAAGCTATTATTCTTTGAAAACTTCATCATTCTGACTACAATATCTGAATTCAGTGCAGAATTTCTTATTTAGAATGAGAATCTCTGAAAATCAGTAGTAGAATCTTTACTAAACACAACAATTCTATCTGAGAGAGATAAAAAGTGAGATAAATTCATTCTTTATAATATTTCAGTTGAAATTTTTGACTGTGAAGAAGAAATGCTACTTCTTAAAAATGAATTAGAAGAATACAACTCTATTCAACTAAGAAAAGAGTCTGTATGACTAAATTCAATTGAGTTCAGACAAAGCAGAAGAAATGCCTCTGTTCTAGTATATACAAAGACACTTGAACAGTCAAAGATCTCTGAAGTAAGAGTAGCAGATTTGAAAATGAGAGTTCATGAATACAAAGACTCAAGAATGAATCTCAAAGCTCAAACACAGTGTTCAAACTGTCAAAGATATGGACACTTTGCAATCTCATATTTTAGAGACTCAAAATGTGTATTCTGTGCCAGAAATCACAAAACTAGTGAGTATAAATGTGAAACATGCTTAAAAAGAGATGAAATATATCAATACACTCTGCTTAAGTGCTCTAATTGCAAAGAAAAACATGCATCTAGCTCAAAAGAATGTATGTTTGCTTCAAGAACTCAAAAGAACTGAAGAAAAGATGAAGCTCAAAGTTAATCTAGAACTGAAGAGAAGAGTCAAGTCAGTAAATCTACAACTATAAGCTTAAAAAGAAGAAACTCTTAACTATCTAAATCTTCAAACTTCAATTCTTCAGCTAAATGTAAACAGAATTTGAATCCTCAAACTTCTGTTAAGATTAGAGAATTGAGAAATGACTCTGATAATAAACTAGATATAATGCAAGCAGTTGAGATTCCTACTTTTCAAAATAGTTATAATCTACTATCTGATAATAGTGATTAGATTCTACTCTATCTCTACTCTCTTTTAGTATGAATATACAACAAAAATAATGAAAAAAGTTTAAAAACTCTTCAAAAATCATATTTATTCAAAATAATGTGAATAGAAACTTAAATTGTATTT